AAAAAGAATCAAAACTTGCAAAATGTCATAAAATTGGTACAAATTAATTTTCGGATTTCACTCACTTAATTATTAAATTAAGGATGGCTTTTGTAGATTGTGAAATTAAAACAAAGAGGATTTTGACAAAGAATTTCGAGTGAGTAAATTATCATTCAGCGTTAACTTCTTGCTCAAATGAAACTGAAATTAAGTAAAAGATTAACATTTGTCCCATAATGGTTTGCTTATTGGAGAAATAATTTGAAATTACGGAACTTTTCAAAGCTCAAAATATCATAATTATAACTTTTCGAGGATTTCCATTTTCATGCGATGTACATTTTTTACTAATAATTTTTTGTTAAAATTTATGTGAAAGAAAAAAGAACGAAAGGACTATTCCATCTATTCAATTTTCCATTTAAAAAAAAATAAAAATCAAAAATTTCCTATTTTTCACTTAGAAAATTTAATGGATTACATAAGGAAATTTTATCGTAATGCAGAATTTCAATTATAAATGAAAACATGACATCCTATGCAAAATTCAATTTTTATGCAGAAATTTAAATAAATATTCCACGAATTCACTAAATCTTTTGATCTATTTTGATCTTTGGATGAAATCGAAATAGCCAAAGAAGAGAATTGCGGTCATTCGGATTGATCTTCTTAGCAAGATCGTTTGCCACTGAGGAAATTCCTTCCCTCCACTCGGTAACTAATTTGCAAGCGAAGGCTAAACTTGGAGATTTTCAGAAATCTTGACCAAGATTTTCAGAAAAATTTTTTCTTTTTTTTATTAATTAGTTAAGTTGTCTTGTCAAGGTATCGTTGTTTGAGCGAGTTTGTAAATTGTATAAATTGCAAACAAACTTTCAAATGATTTTACTAATTTGCGTTATTAATTGATGGAATAAAGAGTCGCAGATGCATTGAAATGAGAAAATGAAATATTTTGAATAAGAATTCCGAAATCAAATCACTTTCTCACGGACTAAATAACAACACACACACCCAATCCAAATCACTTTCTTTTCCAAACATTGTAAATAACAGAGGATGACATTATCTTGTCATAGCAATTGTCACTTCTACTTATTATTTCCTAATTATTTTCCATCAGATTAAGAAAAAATCCAATCGCAATTATGTCGGATGAATCTGTCGGTTTGAAAAGAGAGGAAAGTGAGATGTACTGAATGACACATCTCAGAATCGGTGAAACTTTAAACAATGCAACCAATTTGTCAGTTTGATTGATGACGATATTGTTGTCGAAGGATGCCACTTTATCAACATATCAACTTCCAGCTACATTTTATCAAATTTAAAAGAATTACAGGCGTAATATCATTCCACAAGTCACTGCCAAAATGAGTTAGTTTGTAAATCACATTCAGATCCTGCTGATTCAGTTTCACTGTAAATTAGTTCTCGATCTTGTAAATACACATTCACTTCCTAGTTGATTCAACTTTCTGTTTGTGTATTTGTTTATTATGGAACTTGCTTATAGTTTTCATTTGAAAGATACGATTCAGTAACATGTCGAGGGATTTATCGGCCAGGAATAAATTTATAATTCATTTTATCGAAACGATTTATTTCGTAATGACAGGAACAGAAACTGGCTGTTAGTATTTTCTTAATTTTTGAATAAATAAATTTGATTTTAATTGATCAAGCAGACAAAATTTTCCAAAGTTTATTCATAACTCACATTTTTCGACCCATTATTTTACATTGTATTTATATTTTTATTACCAACGACATAAATAACCTTTCAATTCGTTAATTTTTTTAAATCAACTTTCTCCTCTGAAAAAATATTTTGACCAATGCAAAAGTTGATGTTCAGCAATCGAAAGCTACATTTTTTCAGGAAAAAATAGTGTCCCAAGTTGATTTAGAAGGCTAACTAATAATTACATGCTGCTGTTGCTAACAACAGTAGTCAAAACTATAAAAATATGATTCTCGAATTTGAGTCGTTTTCATAGTTTAATTGCATCAATTTGACTTTTCAGCTATCTACCTTGTATTGAATTATGAAAGCACATTCATATTGAAAATTTTGAAAGTTACGGCTGTGAACTAAGACAGCCTATCTGAGAGTTACAGAAACTAAATATCAATTTGAAAGTTCCTATGGTAAGCGAAATTCTCATGGAAAAAATTGCCTACTAAATGATAAGTGACTGTGAACAAAATTGCATACTTTGAAAATTTACTCGCATCTTTCGCTTCATGATCATTTAATTGCATTCCTGCAATATTGCCATGTTTTTAAAATTTCAGAAATTCGCAAACATCTGTCATTTCTATGATAGTCTTTTTTGAGAGCTCCATTGAGTAATGTTCCCTTATCTTTCCTTTTAGCTCTACTGTAAATGCCAGCTCTAAAACTAGCTGATCAATCTTGTTCCCATCTCATAGATCTCTGTATAACGGACTTCTCCATTAGCTCTAATCTCACTCACTGTTGACAATGAAGTGAGGTGAAAACAGGTAGCGGTTATCCATAGAGAGCTCCCTTGAACACTTAACATCTTAGAGGGTGTTATTTGTATTGCAAACAGTGAAAACTCAGTGCATCTTTCTTTCGTATTATCATCAGGAAACTATTGTTAGGTATTTAAATGCCGAAACTTCTCGTAAACGATTAGGAAAGAACTGCAAGCTGCCACGCGTTTCATGCTGAGATGATCAGTGTTTCGACATCAACGAGTGGTAATTGCTGCCGTAAGATCTAGTTCAATATTTCAGTCCAGCTGATGATTCATAGGAACAAAATAGAATAAACGATAGGCATTACGCTAATAATGAAACAGTAGAATCGGTGAAAATAAGTTGACCTATTGGGGAGCTTTAATTCCGCTAAGATAGCTTAATTTCTCGTTACTGAAGTGAAATAGTTTAGAAACTACTTTAGAATGCATGCTGCATGTACGTACCCAACGAACCTCAATGTGTCACACACGCAAATAAATGCGATCCATATTTGATCTACCTAAGATTGCTGCACTCCTCTGTGCGTGTGCGTGTGACATACACCACAGAGACAGCAGAGTGTGATGAAATGTGCGTCAAAAAGAGAACTTTTAGCATTTACATATACTGCTCTCCGCATCATTACTAAAACCGTTTATTAATTCTTCCAACTTACATAAACAACATAGAGTACGACATACACAAATGTTGTTCACAGAATACAAACTTTTGCAAAAAAAGAGAAAAGCAGCCATAGAGAGCATTCATTATAAAACATGCCGCTGTTAAAAAGCAACTGGACTGGCAAATTTCCATGTAATCTTTGAAGATAACTGGAAAAGAATTAATGCCGAAATAAGATGAAGACATATAAATGTCAATCATCCGATCAAAACCTAAATGACAGTAATATTGAAAGAGATGACCAAACACCTAACAATATTTACTTCAAATACAATTGTAAAGGTCATGAAAATTATCGAATAAAGTGCAATAATTCAAGTCATGTACATCGTAATAAAATGTCACTTCAAATATCAAAGATACTACACATACAAGACATAACGCGAAAGACAGTAAAACAGGCCGTAGGGAGAGCTCAATCTGATTTTGATAAAAAAAATGGGGACAAAAATTTACCTAAATTTGAGCATGTCAAACGTGCTCAGATTTGATAGAAAGGAAAAACTAAAATATTACTACAATATCTATGCATGCATAATAAATGAAATGAATAGCAGGACATGATTTATCGTAACGCCTTTCACTAATGTACATGTAAATGCCCAACTTTCGCCTACTGACATTTAATATCATGGAAATTGTTTGTTAGTAGCAGTTGCAACACTTCCTCCTTGTTGACACTCCTTACGTTCTATAAATTATCGTTATTATTATCTTATCATTCCTAGCATAACATCTTAAATACAAGTGACTGCATTTTGGGAATTTAGAAGCCATGCAATTTATATAGTTGCTTTCTTGGATTATCAAGTGGTCATTTCGCAAAACAGCAAGCAATTGCACAAAAGCCTACCAAAAATCTGCTTACCGTATTGCTGCAGATTAACTTGACCAAGTTGATTTGAAAGTGACACGACCGACTTCATCGGACTACGCCGAGGAGTACTTGTAGGACGAATCTAAAAGCATTACTACAATTAATATATCTCATTCGTTCAAATCCTCTTTAATATTTCTACTGCAATATTGCAAAAGTTTGAAAGTATCCAAAATAAAAATTCCAAAAGTAGACATACTTCAACCTGGTTTTGCCAACCACCAATCATATTTTCCTCATAGAAACATGGCTGCGGAGTCTGTGGTGTTATCGGTTGTGGCACTAGCTGAATTGGATTTGGTGCTGGAATTGCCATCGCAGCAGTTTGTCCGCTTCCGTCAATCTATTTGATTTTTCACTTTTTTAAAACAGTAAAAGCTACGTAAGAGTCCATTTCATAATTAAGTACTATTTTCGCAAATTAATATTACTCTTATTATTTGCCATTTGTGGCCATTTGAGATGGCTGTAATATTTTCTTTTCTTTTAAAAATATTGCAACAAGCATTTAATGTTTCTAGTAGATAACGAGCAATGCGAATAATCTTGAAACTGAGCTACAAATAGTGAAAGAAATAATATAACCTCTAAAAGAGTTGGATAAAATAACAAAACAAGTAATACAAACAGTTTGATATCCACTGGGAGCAAAGAAATATGTTGGCGCAGTCATTTGAGAGTAATGAGTCATATCATTAGCAGGCGCGGTTGGCGCATAATAGGCAGCTGTTGGCGGAAAAAGTGCTGCACGCTGTGTAGCAACTGACGGTGTCATCTGAAACAAATACATAACTGAATTGTTAAACTTGTAGGACAAGTTCCGTCCTTCTAACAATGTTTGCAAATAATACTACTAACCGGTGTAAGCGGCTGAGTAGTCACTTGCGCTATCTGTTGCATGTTTACGTATGCCTGCTGCTGTGGTGGTTGTCCAGAAGCTGGAATATGTACCGACCCATTAACTGCTTGTGGTTGTCCACCCATACCGTTCGTACGTGGTGAATCATGTGGACTTATCGTATTACCATTATTTGGTACAAGCATCACTGGTGCCGTACCGCCGTTTGCAATAAATTGCTGAGTTCTGTTATTTCCCACATCCTATAAATACTTCACTTTCCTATACATCACAAAAACCAAAAGCCCTCTCTCTTAACAATGTTGTCCGTAGCAAACATCTGCAATTCAGCAAAATTTCTGTCTTTCTCCAATCCACTTCTTCCCCAAGAAACATACTTACAGTATTCGAAATTGTGTATTGTGCTGGCGCGACAGTAGAAACTGGCGAGTAGACGAATGGTTGCACTTGATTCGGTGGTGGCATCACAACAAATGGCGACTGTGAGATCGCGTAAGTAATCCCTCCGAATGCTGATGTAGTAAGTAGTTGTCCCGTTGGTGTTGCAATAGCATATTCTATAGGAAAAACCACTTTACGTTAAAATGTTGCATTTCTGTTCGTTTTGACTCTGTTCATAGATATCTCACTGCTCACTGAGAAAAAATTTTCCCGTGATTTCAATATATTTTATAAGACATAAAAACGGACAAACGTTTAACACTACAACACAGATGACTTCTCAACGGAAAATATTCTTTTCAGTGGAAACTAAGAGATACTTGTTCAAATCATTGCTGAAGTAACCATATCTTTCAGCTCACGTTTTCATAACTTCCATTAATAAATATCTCATCCAATTCCATTAAAAAATTAAATTCAAAACATTTTGCATGAATTTCCAGAAATGATTCCATTCATGCATAACTGATATGATTAAAATCACCTGGCGTGAAACGTGGACCATGAATCATACGGCGAATGGCAGGCCCAAGATTTAACCGACGTCCTTTGAATTCGAGCTTTTCCGCTTCTTGGTTCTGCCAAATGTTAATTGTATATGAATACTTATACTCTTTAATAAAATTCTCGGAGTTACTTTGAAAACTACTATTCGTAGCACATATATCAAATTTATGCTAAAATGTCTTACCGTGCTAATTTGCATGACAGTTTTTGCTTCATCCTCTGTATCAAACGTTATGAAGCCATATCCCTTGGATGTTCCCTCACTGCTACGAATTACCTTTGCTTCACGAACATGACCAAATTTTTCAAAAAATAAACGCAAATCAAGTTCCGTAGTCTGAAAATCGTTCAGTTTGATGTAATAAATATAAAGAATTGAATAAATGGATGGATGAATTACGTGACAGACTGTTTAGTCAATATAATTTAAATAATAGTTAAGCCAAATGGAATAAGTGGGCAATTCGCGGAGAAAAACATGTACGATAATGGAGAACAGTTTGTAAATTATTCAAAAAGAATGAAACTCAGGAAACTTGCAGTAGCTGGAAATCCACCAACAAAAATACGATGTGGTATCATTTCAAATGTACGGGGATCAGCTGCAGCAGGAATCGAAAACGGTGTGGTTGTTGCCGGATAAATTGTAGCACCGGCCGGATATGTCATTTGATATGGATTGCCGGTAGGATCATATGCCAGAGTTGTTGCGAAAGCCGGGCTCATCATCATCCTGAATGATTCTAATTTACAAAAACTGGCGTTATTAACGTCAACATCTCTGTTTAATCAAGGTTCTACCGTCTCCATAATAGACAAAAAGAATGAATTGCCAAAGTGGGGAAATAGAAAGCAATGTGCAGACGCGAAAAGTGATATATATGGGAAGTCCATGGAGAAGGTAACACTTCTTTAATATTTTTTCAAGTGGGATAATCATCATTCATTAAGTTATTCCATCAGACACACCCTAATTGAGCAGAGCGATTCAGTTATGAATTAGGTGCATGAATAATCGGACCGAGATCGCACCCTAATCTCATGTCTGCAATACGTTACTCACTTCCACCACATATCAGACCTCACCTTCTATACGTTCCTCTCGCCCTTTACTCTTACCCGAACACTCTTCAACAGATAGAGAGTAGAAGGATAGGTAAGTTGAAGAAATGATCAATAAATCAATCAACACATACAGAGAAATAGACCATGCCCACCGTAACCAACAGGTACCATCAACTTACCACAGAAATGAGATGCACTCCCGCCTCCTTTTCACTAATTTCTCCTCCCCTTCAGTCGGATGAGTCACTGCGTCAAAAACAATATGTGAAACAGACATATTTCCCGACAGAACAAAGAGACAATGTTCAACTTTAAATCCTGAAAGTACCACAGAAGTATTCATATGTCTGAGATTAAATTAAACAATTCCCCTTTCAATGATTTCCCTCCTCGGAAACAGAATGGCTAACGTCGTTTGAAGGAAGGTCACACTCCTCAATTTCAAAATGGATTCACTTTTTCCACTTCACCTATCTCATATTCTATTCATTTTCTACTTTCTATATCTCTCTGAGAACTTGTGGAGTTGCTCTGAGCATTGGAATCACTAAAGAAACAATGACGACTTCACTTCCAGCAAATATATTGGCATCGGTAAATGCAATATGCAAATTAGGCAGAAAAAAGAGTTTTGGCAACATCAGAGCATCACTGGACAGATATTGACTTAATTAAGACAAACAAGTTGTGCGAGAAAGAGGAAGAGAGAGATCAGAGTGACTAATCAAAGTACGTCCACGTGATGGATGTGCATCTTTTAGAGGAGTGAGGGACAGACTACATTTGTAAAAGATTACGTGCAGTTAATGGACCAAAGGAGGAGGAAATGCAATTGATGAAAGGAATACCGTAAGAGAGAAGAAGACTCTGCACGCACTCCTCTCAACGCTACCGTACCCCGTTGAGGTTCCTCTTTGTGACAGAGGGAGAGCAAGTCAGCTCACTTCGCCTACCAACTCATACTGATTCTGGCACGCACACTGATGTGCACCGACAGAACGAGGAACACATATATGGGAGCTATTTATACGTCCAAGTACCACGTCATTTTATTGATCTATCCATGGATGGCCCGAAGTTCGATCGATTTACCGTTTTGCATATCGAACGGACAGTGCGCAGCAGTTCCTGGTGGGGAAGAGAAACGAGGAGACGGAGAGGTATATTGGTATTTGGGAAGTAAGGTGAGAGGGCAGAGATAAAGAAGGAATGTGAGAAGCTGGAAAACGTGGGACGCTGGCGTGCAGGGAATGTTTCTGAGGTTCCAAAAGCTTTAGCATTCTTTCAAGCTTCTTCGAGCAAGGCCTAACCCCACAAAAGTCCCTCCTTGGTAAACTTACCATTACTCAATCAATTCTCAATGCTACTGTTAACAGAAAGCAAATCAACGGAAAGCAACACTTTGGGAAAGCGCTGAATGCAAGAAAGGAAATCAATTTTGAAACTTTGATTAGTAATCATGTCTAAATGGGGAGGTTAAAGCACTGACTCTCATTGACGGATAAACTGAAAGGCCTGTTAGCTTACGCATTCTTCCACTTATGAAAAGTAGATTAATTCCGCCTTATGTGTGTTATTGCGTTTTTCCAGTTTACATGAAATGCCCGACTGGGAATGGTTTACTGGGGAGGCAATTTAAACTTGCAGGAAGTTGTCAGTAACGAAGTTCTGTCACTATACGTTACAGGCAATGCTGCAAAAAATTCCGCTCTTATGAACGAAAATAATTTTTTTAAGAGTAACCGATCCCGTCGATAACCGACAGTAATGTATACGACGGCAAACTCAACTCACTCAACGATGACAACAGTGGCGAAGAGTGTCTACGACGATTTCTCAGCTCCAACACCATTTCGATCAGCGCGAGTTATTGTTGAAGGTAAAAGAGCTTACAGTTCTAGCATTGCGCTGAGAAGAAAATTTGTATACCATTGCTACTTCTCACTTGTCAGACTTTCGTTAGCTAGGAGTAGGTCAAATCCATGATCCTTTTTTCACCTGCAAGTTTGGGTATCGCTGCAGAAAGTTCTAGATTCGCTTTTATCATGTTGTAGGGCAAAATTGATACCGTTAGTGAGAGACCAAACAAATCAGAGATTTCAAAGCCTTCCTCTTTAGGTCGCTCAGTGTATGTGAATCCTGGTTGGCTTGCTGAATTTTCAAACTTTTTCGCCACCATGTTTTTCGGTAAAAGTGCGGATGAAGATTTAACTCTCGGCGTTGAAGTCAGTTACGAACACTTCATCGAATTATTGAGAGTTGTGTGTTATTGTCCTACTCGCAAGCCTATATCAAGTTACTTTTTGTCTTATTTTAATCTGAAGATTTCAAGATAACAAAGCGAGAGAAAAAAATTACTTACATCTGAATGATTTCGGTTTTGTCAATATTTCTGCTGATAGGAAGTAAGTGGAATGTCAGATTTTTATAAATCGTATAAGTCGGTTGGGAGCAAGTTTTGATTCGTTAATGACAACTATGCTAAGATATATGGAACAAGTACGTGTCCTAGCATGGCACATTTATGTGAATCGTCGAGAATGCAGTGATAGTAGTAATAATGGTAGAATTCATATGATAGTACATACTATCGTATGCATGGATAGTAATAGTAGTTTGTAAGTATCTCATCCACTTTGTTTTTTTTTTTTCACTACCTCACGTCAAAATTGTTTTTCAGGCTACAATTAGAGTAATAGCTTTTATCACTTGTTGGATGCAAAGACATGTCCGACAAAAATTATTTACTAATCCACTTTTTCGTAGTGCTATTATGACTTTAGATATAACTGCTTCGTCAACAGAATCAAAATACATAATAGTAACATTGTCATCATTTCCATGGGGACGTTACTGTTAGCATATCAAATATGCCATTGCTTGAAGTCGCTAGGGAAATAGAAGTGCTTTTAGGAGTTGGCGAAAAGCTGCATACGTTACATTTAAAGCAAAATTTTCAAGTAAAGGTGGTTAATCCTAGTCACTGTACTAAATAGATTTTTTGTCTCTGAGTTACTGTAAAATAAAATGGGTGTTGTTCCGTTAGGAAGCATCGCTATATGATTTCTGTTCGTACAATATCTTTTTATAGATTGAACACTTTAAATTGCAGTTTCTAATGTCATCGTTGTTTTGAAAATGGCCCATTATTTTGGAATGAAATCTGTAATCGAGGAATGTGAAGATATTATTGTTAAACAGGTAAATTGGAGTAGAAGTATTAAAAAGTTTCATTGCAATTAATGTTTGATTGGCAATATCATAGTTGAGATCAAGTTGAAAAAAAATTTCCCGACTGTATGACCGCCATCCTTCTTTGTCGTTTTGCCTTGATGTTTGCTTTTTATCCAAACATAATAATGAGGAACTTCTTAGTTATCAAAATAATATCCTAGTTATACGCTACAGGCAAGTACGTTGGATAGAGTGAAATTATTTCAAATTGCATGTGCTGTTGCCGAGCATGATCGCTACTCTCCAACTATGACATTACTTATCGATAAACTTTCCGCTATGAAACGAGAAGAACTATCAAAATTGCATTTCTCACAGGTAGGTACCGTACTCAGAAGCCATCTGCTTTTGACTTGTTTGTGAAATGGGTGACAATTTGATTTCATCATTGATGAAGTAGAAAATGTGAAGTCGGTGGGAACATCCTCTGTTCAAGCCAGTCTTCGTCTTATGTGAAGGATATATACGCGACTAATCTGATGAATCTCGTACTTTGAAATGCCAGTTCTCATCTTACGGTAGGGTATGTTGAAGTATTTAAAGTGGGATAGATGAACGTCGCTTTCAAGATTGCTTGTTCTATTAACAGGTGCCAGGCGATGTTGTAGCTGATGTATTCGCCGCAAAAATGAAACGACGCGAGATGAAACGGAAGAAGTGGTGTTGTTTGTCATGAACTACCGTCCCCAGCATGATTTTAATTGTCCTTACTAATTTTTCCCAAAATTTTTACTCTAAATCAATCTTACGCTAACTGTTGTGTAATTTTTCATGGATTTCTTGAGCACCATTTAAGAATCGAGATTCACAAAGTGGAAATAGCTCCTAGTACCACAGAAAGAGTTCGAAAGTAGAACAAAACATCTAAAATTAATGTGGAGGTCAGAAAGCATCTCTGACCTGCAAAAGCTACAGTATTTCAAAAACAGATTGTCGTTTAGATTATTTTTGATAATTTCAAGATGGATGAATTTGTGGGAGAGGTTATTAAGAGAGGCTATTATGCGCTACAAAGTGAATAGTTTTATAGCAATTAGTATTTTAAAACAAACAGCTTTAACTGCTTGTACTGGTGACCGCAATATATATTCAACCTAAAAAGATCGTCAAGAATTTATTTTTGGTGATTCAATATTTCAAAGCATATAATAATTTACAAGCACTAGAGCAAGATTTTATCAGAGGGCGAGCTGCGTCCTGACATGTCTCTTATATTCTTCTAGGCCTCCTTCCAATGTCATCACACAACGATCCTTAACTACCCATAGTTCTTTACAAACCATATCAATGAGTTTTTCGTCATGAGAAACAATCAACACTCCTCCCTGCAAATTGATAATATAAACAATGATGTACAATGAAGATGGGAGTCAAAGTGCTTATGTATAGAGAAACTTGTGAAGATTAAACAAAAATTAAATATCATATTAATAGCACAAATGTGAGCAATATAATTGATTGAATAAAGTATTACCTTAAACGAGTTCAGCGCCCTGCCTAATGCTTCAACTGTTTCTACGTCCAGATGGTTTGTAGGTTCATCCATAATCAAATAATTAGGACTGCAAGCGGAAATAAATAATCAAATAAGAAATAAAGTGAAGGAACAGGATTTCCGAATATTCAGTCAAAAAAAATGCTACAAGAAGTTGGGTTAGCAAATAGCGTGCTATTGCAAAATGTTTACAATCCTGCAAAGTTTGAGCAAAGTGTACTTCGACATAGCAATACTCGCAAAAGCGAGACGGGATTTTTGTCCTCCAGAAAGAGTTACGACCGACTGCAGCGCTAAATCACCAGAAAGCCCAAACCGACCAAGGGCGGCTCTGTATTCTTCTTGAGTTTTACCTACAAAAGCAGCTTAAAAAATAGTGCTATTATAAATAGAGGAATTGTAGTCGCTGAAATGAATCAAGTGTTTGAATAAATTTTACTGAGTAGAATACCGGGTAATTTTTTCTCCAATACTTCTATACCAGATATGTCCATGTCAAGCTGGTCAACATGATGTTGCGAAAAGTATCCTATTTTTAAGCGGCGATTAGCATTACGAAAACCACTTGTTGGCGACAAGTCACCAAGAAGCAATTTTAGCAGTGTCGTTTTACCAGCTCCATTTTCTCCAACCTGTAATTCTGATTCTCCTAACACTTTTATAAACAATCTGAATCAACACATGTTTTCTCTACACTTAAGTTAGAATTTTCAATTGTTACAGAGAAACTTTGTATACTTGCCAAAAGTAACAAACGTACAATGCAAATGCGTGAATCCGCATATGAACCAATTTGCAGCTTAGTAAATATAATGGGTGAAACAGACGTATATCTAAAATATAAGGCAATAAAACATGTCAATGATGAAAAATGAGCATTTTCTTTACTCCATTCTAATGTGAGACATTTGAAGTCAAAAATAAGCAGAAATGGTTCAAGAGTCGGAAAGTTAAAAAAACGACTAGATAGAGATGCTATACACCATTTATCTCGTAGTTTCAATAATGAAAATATTTACGTGCCATCTTTAACTCGTACAATTTAACAATGGAATCGTCTAGATTCAATACCTAAAAGAAACATCGTCCAATTGCAGTACCAAATTATTCAGTACTTCGCAGTCGGGAAAGCTCAATTTCACTTCACCTTCCAAGATAACAGGTTTAATTACTGGTCTGAAAAAACATATACGTAAGAAGTTGTAAATATTCCTCATAAAGACTAGGGACTACTGCAGAGTTGACAGTCTGTAACAGTAAAATATTTGCCAAGTAATTTGTTCCCTATACATAAATTATAAAAAGTGTTGTTGATTTGTGAGCTTTTAGTGCAGTAGTTTAAAAGAAAGCATTACAATTTTTCAAGCATTTTGATACGGCTTTGAACCATTGATGCTCGTTTAGCATTGTATCGAAATTTATCAATAAATTCTTGAGTATGTTGACGAAACTGCTGTTGTGCCTCGTATTCCCTGAAAATGTCTATTAAAATACGTGAATCACATCCAAAAAATTAGTAAATAGAAAAAAAGTTTAAACACACTAAATATAACTGCATGTATTAATGAAATAATGCAAATAAAAACTGAAACAATAAAATAACAAACCTTTCTTGCTGCGTTAGTTTCTCTTTCATTGTTTTCTCGAAAATGGAATAATTACCTTTATATTGATCTAGCCTCTTTGAATGCAAGTGTATAATATCCGTGCAAACAGTATTCAAAAAACTGCGATCATGAGAAACTATCACAATTGTAGAGGCCCATTCCTGGAAATTATTATAGCAAATAAATAACAGATCTACAAATGAGACACAAATTATAATAAAGAAAAAATACCGCCACTTAATTTTACTTTGTGAATAACATGCGTGACCCAACATCAGCTTCCTAAGAGAACTGAAGCTTTCATTGTAATTATCTTTTATCTAAAAACCCTCCAAAGCTGGGAATATTCGCAGAGACCATGTCAAAATCACATTTCAAATTCAAATTTTATGTGAAATCAGAAATAGGTAAAAATTTAAGTCAGGACCTAGAAAAATTTAAATAGTACCTGAAGATGATTTTCTAACCAAATTATTGCTCTCATATCTAACATGTTTGTTGGTTCATCCAACAAGAGCAAGTCAGGCCTGCAAAAAATAACAGTATAAAATGAGTTTTTCTTAGAGCAATAGAATTCTATAAGTTATAATAAATAGTATAACGTACCTCATAAATAATGCCTTTGCCAAAGCTAACCTCATTCTCCAACCACCCGAAAATTCTCTGAAGATTGTTATTTGTAGAAAAAACTCTAAATTTTTTAAAACAGAGAAATGGATAAAGAGTGTTTATCAGTAAAATTTTCAAACGAGCCACACTGAAAACAATTCAACAATTAAGAACAACAAGCACCTTGTAGGCTGTTTCTGCTCTTCCGGTGTAAAACCAAGTCCAAAAAGTATTGAAGCAGCACGTGCAGGTGCTCTGTCAATTTGGGCTTCTTCCATTTCTGTATAAATTTTCCCTAATTCATTACTGTATTTCTCTTTATCCTCATTGCTAAGAGATCTGAAACAAAAAAATGGTTTTTAAACTTCCTAGAACATTTGACGGGATTAATAGCGAAAAAAATAAGAGTGGAAAATAATCTGAATTCACCGAAATGCCCTGTTAATTATTCATCTTGTTATGTAATGAATCGATATGGTTTCAATAAAACTCACTCTTTGAGCAGTTTCTGCAATTTTTCTTCACGACGTAACAGTGACATTCTTCGAGTATCACTTTGTAACACAGATTGTCTTACTTCTGTATCACTGCCTTCCACCTCTTGTTCAACACTTAATACGGTGATATTGGAGGGAATCATAAGTTGTTTCCTGAAACGAAGATATAAACACTACCTTATGTGCAGCTTATATTAGTCAAGTAAACTGTAAACATTCTACACTGTTCAACTTTTTGCTGGGTACATCAGCAATGGTTAATTATTATGTAATAAGTAAATTCAAACATTTCATTCTAAGTCTTACGAAGAAATCATTTTCAGAAAAGTAGACTTCCCAGCTCCATTTCGACCAACCAGACCATAACGTCGACCATAAGTTAAAACAAGATCAGCACTACATAGTAACTGCCTTCAAAATTAAAAAAATCGCTGTATTTTTTTGAAGGAAAAACAAGGACAGAAAAGCAGAAATTATTAAATCTCTGTAAACAAAATGCTTGAAGGACCAAAATATCGAATAACTTCCTCAATCGGCAAAAATTGCAACTTACTTAGGTCCTATTGATATATCAACATTATTAAGGTGTACATCCATCATATTTCCACCTCCGGAACTATCTGATTTCCCATCACGACGACTTGTTGACTGCGAAGCTGTAGCTACAAGATCAGACGGCTTCCTTTTCTGTGTTTTTGAATCATCGCCAATTTCACGTTTTGTGGCTTTTTCTAATGCGCGTGTTTCAGCCTTTTCAAGTTTCTTCCTATCGACTTGCTGTAGTACATTTCACCATTATGATTTCTATGATTTTTATGTTCCAACTTTTATATAGTTAATAACTAATGCAATTTACCGAGGGTGTTTCACGCGTATTAACTTTCCATATGCTTGTAATATCCTCCGAATCAAAATGCTGCGCACTTATATCAACAGTCTGTTCAAGACGTCGCTGAGCAATTTCATTTGATTGATGAGTAACATTTTTCCTGAAAATTTATTTAATAAATTCGAAAAACTTTCTGAAAATTGATAAATTTGAAAAAATGCAAAAATTATAATTATATGTAAACTAAAGCAATATACGAGACTATCGCATAAAAAGTATACCCGTTATGAAGCAAGAACGCAAGCTTTTCACATACAAGCTCAACAGCCTCATCACTAAGCCCCTCCACAGAACTTTGTATGTGCATACCGATAGCCTCGACAATATCTTCTTTCGACAGTAAATCATCAGCATTTTCTCTTAAAACTGCTGCAAACATACTGCATTTACTTTTGTAAAATAAATCAAGAAAGATCCTTTTCCAGATGATTTTTTTTTAAGTTGGCAACTGGAACGATAAGTGATACCTTCAACGTAATCTTTGACTTCAATTGGAAGATCAGGAAAGGTTGATGTGAGATATGACGATATAGTCATTTGACTAATTATTGATAAAAAACTCGAAACCAAACCAAATAAGAAAATTGAAAATCAGTATGGCTGAAACTCCATTTTTTAGATATCTTCCTGAACTGATGCTTATTTTATTACTTGAAATTTCAATTTATCGAATACAGTTGCGCTAAAGCCCACTTCTTTTCTTTTATGTGGAAAAGACTAAGATCATCAGAAAGAGTAAAGATTTTTTCAAGTTTCGTCGTGGAACTGCTCAAAAATTCAAATGTGATTGGTTTACGGGTATCACTGATAAAGAACAACTTTTAAGAAATAAAATGAATAATTGGTACATACTAAACGGTTCTATAAAAATAAACCTGGAATTAAACTAGGAAGGAGAAGAAAATAATACGACGCGTCACTGCTAAATATTTCTGCCGATGCTTCATCGATGAGCCGGTCAGTCATACAGTGCCACTCGTAACCCGATCTGAAAATTTCCATCATGCAGCGGATTAAGGAATTTACCTGTCTGTTTAAGGGGACGAGAAGAAAGTAATATGTGTCAACTCTCTAACTGCTCTCGACTCTCAGATGAAGCTTCTTTAGCTGTCCCCATTTTTCTCAATCTAGTCATCCTTAATGCCCGGTATTTCACGGTCGGTTTATAGATCAGATTTAGAGCTATTATATGCGGTGTTTGAGAATCGCTGAGTTCTGAAACTATTCTCTGACTTATTGATTGGTTGCTGGTCACTGTAGACTTATAGGGATAGGGTACCGTTCAGGTGTGGTTCTGGGTGGTGGGGAGAAGTTTTGTGTTCGGTTGTAAGAGAAGGTGTTTACAGAAGAATGAGTGATCGAGGACGTAACGATGGTGATGTAAAACGGAATAGCGTGAGTAGTGGGAGACCGGCTAGTGGTAGCAATGCAAGTCCACGTAATGCGGTAAAGGAAGAACGGATAGAAAGGAATGAGCGTGATCGTACTGGTCGAACATCTTCCAACGAAAGGTTTTTTTTTCTGAATTAGTGATGAGCATGTTTGACCTTTTGCATTAATGCTTCGTAACTGTTAGATATACACTATATGTGAAGTATAATCAA